TTTGAAGCATTTGGGTCTGCCCCTTGGTGCAAAATGTACTTCAAAAGCCATATGGGACCCAATACTAGAGAGGATGGATAAGAAGTTGGCAGCTTGGAAAGCCAAGTACCTTTCAAAAGGGGGAAAAGTGACACTTATCAAAAGTGTATTGGCAACCCTCTTTGCGTATTCCATGTCTATGTACCATATCCCAGCAGAAGTAGTGGGAAGAGTAGAAAAGAAGATGAGAGATTTTTTATTGCTTGGGTGGAAAGATTTTTCAAACTACTTGGTAAATTGGGATCAGGTTTGTAAGCCTCTATCGCATGGGGAACTTGGAATATGAATAGTAAGATTTTAATGCTGCCCTTATGGGTAGGTGGTGTTCGAGGTTTTCAGAGGAGCCCGACAACTTATGGAGGAAGGTTATAGGCTTATAGCACAGAGCAGTACGAGGTCAGAAGCAACAGTTGGGATGCAGAAGCTTCCATTTTGTCATATGACTGTGGGGTGTGGAGGGGAATTTCCAAAATCTTCACTCAGTTCTGTAAAGGTCTAAGATACAAGTTGGGAGATGGTAGATGGATGCAGTTCTGGATCGATCCCTGGTGTGGTGACAGAACTCAGACTCATTTTTTAGCCCTATTTAGTTTGGCAGAAAATAAAGACGTGGTGATGGCTGGGTCCTTTGTGGTGGATGACTGGATGGTAATAGTTTCTACTGGTGTCCTTTCAGAGGAGTTTGACTGGGAACTTGAAGTGGTTTTAGATTTGCTGGCCTGGCTTCAGAACCAACACCCAAATCTGGAGTCTCATAATTCAATAGTCTGGAGTTTGAACTCATCAGGTGTTTTCACTGTTAGGTCCTTCTGTTTGACCTGGTGTCTGAACCCTAGGAGTTTTTTCCTATCCAAGCAATTTGAGGGTCTGCCGCTTCATCAAAAGTTTTTTGCTTAGGACCTTGGGTAACATCCTTGAAAAAGTGCCTTGCTAAAGATATGCTTTGGAAGAAGGGTTTCAACATTACAGACCTTTTGTGTTCTTTTTGTAATTGAGAGGTATAAACCTCTAACCATCTTTTCTTGTACTGTAACTTCAGTGGAGCTGTGTCAAGGCAGTAGATCTGAATTGGTGCTTTCCCAAATCAGTGAAATCAGTTTTTGAAGAATGGCATGTTGCTGGTATGACAAAGAAAGGGAGTTTTCTGGTCGACCATTCCCTCACCAATCTTTTGGGCTATTTGGTATGAGAGAAATTGCAGATTTTTTGAGCAGAAAGCTTCAACGGAAGCAGTAGTCATTAACATGGCTGTTGGACTTCGTAGAGATTGGCTGTCTATTCGTAATCAATGTTTTGAAAATTGTAATTGTATAATTAATTGTGAAGAAAGTTGAATCGAAGCGAATCATGAATTGTGTCTTAAATTGTAAGATTATTTCTATCTTTACAAACTTGCCAAAAAAATAAATATAGATATTAAAAGGCTAAAAATATATAGGAAAGCAACTTTACCCTATTTTTAATCTATGTCTACCATATATTTACCTAAAAGAATAGAATTTACCACTTATAATATAGAACCTAAGATGACATAATCAAGTTTGACTTGAAAGTTAAACAAATCCACATACAATGGCTCTTTAACCTACATATGATGGAAAATAAATTCATTTCTAGTCTTAAATAACATAATAAATCATTTTCTAGTAAGGTCTAAAACTCGCTAAGCAAGCAAACCTTCAAAATTTGGAGGTTGAAGGGGATTCAAAACTGTTTTTCTCTTGGACTGCCACAAGGTGTATTCCCTGGACTTATAGACATACCCTGAGAGAAATAGTAAGCCTGGCAAGGGAACTCAATGTTTCTTTCACTTGGATCAGAAGGGCAGCAAATGGAATGGCTGACTCATTAGCCAAGCAGGGGGTCCATAGGCAGAGGTTGTTTTGGGCACTATTGTGATTTGTGTTTTTGTTGTTATCTTGATTGCATTGTAATTCAGTACCTGTTTTCACTCATTAATAAAATCGATCATTCTTTGCTGATAAAAAAATCATTTTCTAGTAAGGGATCGAAAAAGGTCTCCCTTGGTAAAACTAAATATAAACAAAAAAATGACAAAGTAGAGAACTAGTTCTTAATTGAATTTATTTGAAACACAGTGGATTGTAGAAACCACAAGATTCATGAATCAAATCATAGGAAGGATTCACACATAAGATTCGAATCAAAGCCCTTGGGATTTGGGATTCATGATTCAAATCGTTAATCGTATCATAAATTGTAAGATTTTGACAACACTGTTCATAATACTTTAAAGGATGATTCTTTGGATGTTTCTTTTTTTGCTGTTGTAGCTCTTTTGAGGTCCTTTTTCTTGGCATGTACTTTTTCAGCAATTCATTGTACAATGGACCATATACTTTTTGAGTTAATACGTTATAATTTACCTTTCTTCAAAAAAAAACCCTCTTGTAAGAAAACTCCAAATTGAAACTAGAGTTCACCTTCCATTTACTGGATATACTACCTTTAAAGCTCATGCCGCCATTATGAATGCCTTAATCAAGTTCTTAGCTGGATGCTGTTGCTCTTGTGTGCCAGATATCTGAGCCACATGATAATCACAAAAGGATTTTGATTCAAGAATTTCTCAGTGTTTTATAAGGCGTGGGAGGCCTTGCGTGTCTCCACGTGAGGTACTTCCATAACACACGGAGGCACAGTAGAGAAGTGTTGGAGCACATGGGGCATATGCCTCTTGTATAAAGACATTTATAGAGGTGTATGCCTCGGTTGAGGTGCATGCCTCGGTTGAGGTGCATGCCTCGGTTGAGGTGCATATCCTTGTAACACTTTATGCAGAAGGTACATGCGTCAGATGCTTATGATTTTACAATACTTATTTGGATCTGTTTTTGGTTTTTAATTTATAATTAGTGGGGGCACAATTATATCATGGTCCCTGCGATATGTTATTATGTTTTTCATTTGTAAGGGAGGGGAATAACCCTCCATTTGATTATTCGCAAGAGCCTGGAAGAGAAAACGAAAGAGTGACTCAAGTTAGGGCTACAATGCACAAGTTGTTAATTATTATTATTTTTTTATTTTTTCCTTTTCTTCTATAGTCGAATCTGTTCTTGGACAACGACATGGCAGTGCCTTGAACGGTTTGGCTGACCTCCTCCTCCTCCCCCCTCCCCCCTCCCCCCTCCCCCCTAATTTTCGAAGACCAAAGACTACTCCCTGCTGTCCACTGCTTTGCTGTCTTTGAAATCTAAAGTTCCAAACAGAAAACCAGCAGCTACAGATATGTGGCTTTGGGCTTCAGCCTTCAGATGCTTCTAGCATATTCTTTACTGTTAGTTTTTTTTTTTTTAAATAAATAATGTTATTCGTTTTAATTTACCAATTTAGTTACTTTAGTACCAGTTTGTTTATTTGCTTCCTGTTAGTATCTATTGTGAATTTGTAGATTGCTATTAGTATCACTTGTTAATTTAAAGCTTTAAAACTTTCTGTTAATTTGAAGTTTAAATTAAACTTTGAAATTTAGTATCAGTTTTATTTGTTGCTATTTGTTACTATTTCAAATTTTCAAGCTTGCTGAATTGTTAATTTGTTATTTGTTAAATTGAACTCAAGTATCGATTCTATTGAGTAGTGAGAAAAAGAGGCACAAGAGAAGATACCCTTAGGGTGTGGGGCCCAAACTCTTCTATCCGGTCTAGACTCTCGAAGGTTCCAAGTGTACTTTGTCCAGGCTTTGTGAAAGGTTAACCATAGACTCAAAGTCATCATCTCTTAAAGTTTTGTGAAAGCTAATCTTCCAATTGTGACCTGGAGGAACTACAGGAGGGGTATAAAGTTTGACTGTAACACCTTTTTAATTTTTAATCAAGGAAGTGGTGTACAATGAAGGAAAGGGATCTTTGACGGGAAAGTTGCCTAGCCAAGTATCTTCCTAGAACCGGATAATGTCTGCTGAGCACATTATAAAGCTGAGCAATTGGGGAAGGATACTATGAATCACCTTCCAAGGTGAGGCCAAATGAGCCCAGTTAGGTAGACCTGTGTTCCAACCATTGCTCGACCTGTTGTGATTACCAGTCACTACTTCATGCTATAACCCCACTCTCTCTCTAAGGGCTATCTCCAGAACCACTTCTCTAGATGTGCTATATTCTTCTTATCCACATCTCACCCTCTTTTTCACTCCTACACAACCTCCCATTTGATCAAATAGTTTTTCTTTCCTTTCATAGTTCTCATAAGAAATCCAACGTAACTTCTCTATCTTCTTTGTCTCCTTTTGCGATATTCTAAAAACTGAAAGATAATACTCTGTTAAGTTAGCAAGCATGGATTTTATGAAAGTGATTCGATCTACCAATGAAATATAGTTCCTTTTCCACACTACTAACCTCTTTGTAGTTTCCACACCTTTGTAGGTAGGGTTCCAAAACCTGCTATCCTTAGGGTTTGCACCTTGAGGGAGACCCGAGTAGGTCAAAGGCCAAATAATGGCATTATTTATCCTTATTGGCAGGCAGCAATTGACTCTAACTCCTCTTCCTCCAAATTTATCCCTGCAAAGCAACATTTTCTCCCAATTGATTTTTAAGTTTGAAACCCTTTTGAATCTCTTAACCAACCCTTTCAAGTTTCTCACCTCCCTAAGATCATTTCTTTCACGAAAGATTATTAAGTCATGTGCAAATTGAAGGCGTGTAACTGTAATGCTATTCTTTTAGATTAAGCTTTGTATGTTCTTTTGTTTTCTTATCAAAGGTAGCATCTAACTTCATTCAGGTGTGTGTCTTGTACCTGAGTCTCTAGGAACCCATTGTACTTCTCACTTTGACTCTGGATTTATCATGCTTCATCCACATTTCCATGATGGATACTAGACTGTCCTTTCAGAAAGTACTTCCGGCTACAACATTGAGAAAACACGTGTGATTATTGTTCATGTAAAGGTGTTTCTGGTTTTGAACAGTTGACATGCTTGTATGTTACAGGTTCTAGAAGGTGTTATCAAGTACCGGTGGAATGTTTTGCCTGCAGAACAACGAGATGGAATGAAAAATTATATATCAGAAGTCATTGTACAGGTATATGTTACATCATTATGGTTTTATAAATCTATAAAATCTGCAGTTATTATTTATATATATATATATATATATATATATGATATGCTATTCTAATTTCTTTGTGTTGCTGCTGTTGTTTTGTTTGTTTTATATAGCTTTCAAGTAATGAAGCATCTTTTCGGCAGGAAAGGCTTTATGTCAATAAACTCAATATTATATTGGTCCAGGTAATACCTAATCCATGTATTACTTTTAAATCTTTACAAAATTTTGCTCATTTTCCTGTCTTAATTTTTTAATGTTTTCCAATAGGTTGAGTTGTGCAATAGGGTTTAAGGATGCCTAGCAGTTTATAATTCTGTATCTTCATAACATGTTGTCAATGTCAATGACTTTGTTAGGCCTTCAAAATTGATGACAACTTTTATATGGATTGCTAAGAATTAGTCACTGTTTTTTTATATCTGCCATTTGCAAACACAGATTCTGAAGCATGAGTGGCCAGCCAGATGGAGAAGTTTTATTCCTGATCTTGTTGCAGCGGCAAAAACTAGTGAAACAATATGTGAGAACTGCATGGCTATATTGAAGGTAATTTCCATTTCCCCATCCCTTCCCTCTTCTTGTATCAATATGTAGTTTAATGCATATGGAAGGTAACTGAAACCATTACTTGACAGCTTCTCAGTGAAGAGGTATTTGATTTTTCAAGAGGGGAAATGACTCAGCAGAAGATTAAGGAGCTTAAGCAGTCATTAAATAGGTAAATATTTGATGTGCTGATGCTTGCTTTATAGTAGGTTCTGTTGAGGCCTTGCCTCTACTGTTGGTGGAAAGAGGCTAGGAGGTGTAATTGGAAGTAATCTTCTGATCTTTTTTGTTTACTTGAAAATGCTTATTCCATATCCTTGTACAAGCTTAGTTTGGAAATGGAAAACTTTGTCACTCCAGAAGCAGGATGCCATGATTCTGGTCCTATTTGTTAATTTGGTATTTTGGTGATTGCTTTACATGAAGCTTGTGGAAATTATCATTTTGACATTTTGTTTTCTTGGAAAAGGTTCTTTATTAAGTAGAAGATACAAGAGCCATCATATTTCACCTTAGTGGGTTCATAAGTTGTCAAATCCTTGAGGCTAGTACACTCACGTATTGTTGGCTCTATGAAAACTAACTGTTATAAAATAATAAAAGTTCACCTAAGGATAAAGAAGTAATGAAAGCCTTACCTTTCCGCATTCAGCTACAGTGCTAAGATCATACCCTCTTCCCCCTCTTCCGCCAAAAGCAAGGACTCATGACAATAACAAGTATTTTTTTTGGGGGGGGGGGTTGGTTTTCAACCATATTATAGTCTTGAGTGGAATATTCCCAACTTCTATAATTGAGTGAGAACACTAATCACCCTATAAGTTTTCATGATTTACAGTTGAATCTTCTCCCTAATTTCTTTATAATTTGAAATTGGTATTATGAAAACTTTAGCATCCATGGGATCTGCTCATGGCAGGTGGACACCTCCCCCAGATGTGGTAAGCCTTTTTGACCCAAGCTTTTTTAGGCAACCATAGAGGCATGGAAGACCTATATGGAGAGCCACAAGAGCAACTATACGGCTATACCCTGGTCAATCTAGGAAGAAAGAAATAATAGGGTCTTTAAAGGAGTGGAGGAATCCAAGGAGGAAATTATAGAAAGAATAACCATTATGACTATCCACTGGTTGTAAACTTTGGACTTGTTTAAAAAATTCTCAACTGAGGGCATATTTAGGAATTGGGAGTGGTGGCGGTTACAACATCCACAAAACCTATTGTGCAGGAACTGTGGTCCCCACTAACACAACAAAGAATAAAGTTGAACTTTGATGGGATCTCTAGAGGTAACCTGGGCCCTTCAGGTATAAGGGGAGTATTTAGAGATGGAGATGGGAGAATTGTCATTGTGTTTTTTGGGCCAATAGGGGTGGGGGACTCATTGAGAGTGGAGGTGATGACTTTGCTTCAAGGTGTAAGATATGCCAAACATTTGGGGTTACACCAAGTTGAGATAGAAGGAGACTCTAAATTGTTAATTGATTGGCTGCAACCAGGCAAGTTGGGAGCATGGATTTTTGGACAGCCCATAAGGGAAATCCTCAATATAACAAGGGACATTGGTGCTTGCATCAAGTGGACAAGAAGATCAGCTATTGGTCTAGCTCATACTTTAGCCAAACAAGGGACTGTGAGGGAAAGCTTGTTCTGGGGAGTTTTGTAATTCAGATTACTTGGGCTCAACACTAGGGCTGTACATGGGTCGATTTGGTTCAGCTGCATACAATTTGTTCAACCGAAACGGACTGCTCGGTTGACATCTTTACCACCTGAAACCGACCTAGAAAACTTGAAAACCGAGCTAAACATGATTTATTGGTTTGGTCAGATGACCATTCCATTGCCCTCGTCAAGTGTCAAATCCCTTCACAAAATCAAACCCACTATCCTCCATGAATTTGAAGCTCTGCATCTCATCGAAGACTTACAAAGTTACATCTACTAAACTAGTATTATTAAAAGATAAATCGATAGTAACAATAAGTCTTAAAAACTAGTATTATTAAAAAATAGTTTGATGGTAGCAATGATTGCAGTAATTCTTCCTGATTTCGTGTAACTTGAGCTGGAGGGTGGTGGTGAAAGGGGGCATTTGTTGTGCATAGGCAAATTAGTTACCTCAGCATTATGAGGAGGTGGCGAGGGATGTGAATAGTGAGAAGGGGATTTGTTCAATTCAGTTGCAGAGGTTTAGAAAGAGGGTTCTACCAATACCTATGTCTCAGTAAATCGACGAAAATCAACACCAATGTCTCAGAAAGATTGAACATAACAGAACTGAGCAACTGCAACTCTACAAGAGCATAGATGAATCTATTCTGCTCCTTGTAGAGATGAAATGCTTCGGCCTTTTCAACTCTGAAAGCTCACTTCAAGAAACGAACTCCATTGTCACCGAGTTGGAAACAATCACCTTCATGCGTTTCCATTCTCAAACCCTAGTTTTTTCTCTCTAGAAAGAACAATGCAACCCATTGTTCTATTCCATGAAAACCCAGTTAGAGCGTTGTGTTGATAGAAATTAGAATAGTAGGTGGGGATTGACAAAATCTTTCCCTCAAATAGAAACCTGACTTCGATGAGTAAAATGAAATATATTTTCTTTTTACATTGGAAATAGAGGTATACAGAGTGAGAAGAAATGAAATGATGGAAGAGAAGTTGTAAAGAGAAAAAAGCCAAATGGGGGAAGAGTTTGAGAAAAAAACTTATGGTGGATTGAGCTGGCCTCATAAATTGTAATGTCTGACAGGTATCAGAACTCCACCCTATGACCCTCAAAAGTAACATTTTATAATTTGTATGAAAAAAAATAGATATGAGCTTATAACTGGTTGGTCGGGTTATTTTTGTTTTATAAATTTATAAACCAAAACCAACCCAACTGGTTGGGTTGTATATTTTAATGGTCAAAAACTGACCTACAGCATTAGTAAACCAGACATATTGGGTCAAGTCTGGCCGGTTTGGTTGGTTTGGCCTTCTTTGTGAACAGCCCTCTCAACACCCTACTTAGGGGTTGACAGTTGTATCTAAATTTGTTTTATTGAAGTTACCATTTCCAATTAAAAGGGGATCTGCTTATGGCAGGATGGCTTCCTGGGGATAGTCTTACCATCCCTTTGACGTAACCTGAGCAAACAAGTAAGGACATTAACATACATGTGCTTTGGTGTTGAAAATAGGAAGTTGTATCTCAAGGATCTTGCAATGTTTTTTCATGAATAGGCACAGGATAAATAGTTCACCTGGGGATCAGCTTACTCATAAAGTTTTGTCTTTGTTTATCTTGATTCTGTTGTTTCTCTTTTTACACACTGCTTCCAGATTTTTTTTTGATAAGCATTTGCTTCCAGAAAGTTCAAATTGCTACTTTCTTAATTGTTTCCTATTGGCATTAACATACTTATCCATTTGTTTGTAATGGTTTCTCTCCTGAGGTAGTTTGATTTTATATATACCACTCATGCTTTCTGATTGGTATTTTTTATACCACTAATTTTACCATTTACCTCTGCAATCAATGGTTATGTTTGTATTTGTTTGGTTAATACTTTTACTACTAGCTTATCAAGAAGTTTGTTTGCTTATTTACAGTGAGTTTCAACTCATTCATGAGTTATGCTTATATGTACTATCGGCATCACAAAGGACTGAACTTATACGAGCAACGCTTGCGACGTTGCATGCTTTCCTTTCATGGATTCCTCTGGGCTATATTTTTGAATCTCCACTGGTATTCACATTCGTCACAGTTTATTTGGTTGCATTTTAATCTTCTCTCATGGGGCTTTGTACATGTTTTTTTTTTTTTTATATTCATTCTGTTATTTTTGATCAGTAACTCAACATTTTATTAATTAAGAAGAAGGAAGGTACAATACATTAAATACAGACAGGCTGTGAGAGATAAAACCTTCTCTCTCCTCTAATACGTCCAGATCCCTTACAATTCATTCTTTAAACACCTTAGTTGTGATCAGAAGTATTTTAATTTTATTTTATTTTTCTGTTTTAATGATATACCTGTTTCAAATTCTACACTAGTCTTATATGTTCTTCATTGCTTCTTTGTGATAGCTTGAAATACTGCTTAACTTCTTTCCAGTGGCATCATATAGAAATCTTACAATCCAGTGTTTGACAGAGGTATTCACTTTTTCTTATATTGAGATCCATATTTTATTAATCTTTCTTTAAGATGATGATTACATTTCATTATGTCACAGGTTGCAGCTCTTCAATTTGGTGACTACTATGATGCACAATATGTTAAAATGTATAACATTTTTATGGTGCAAGTACAGGTAACTGGTTAACTGGTATTGGATGCAATCAAAATTCCATCTGAACTTAATAAATTAAATTTTGCGTCTTCATAAGTTTTATTTGAAAGAAAGCTTCTTTTCTGTTCCATTGTCTCATCATCTATGGTTTCATTTGGTTCTGTTACCTTTTGTTAAATTCTGTGCTATTTTTGATGTTCTCAGACAATTCTTCCACCTGCAACAAACATACCTGATGCTTATGCCCATGGTTCCAGTGAGGAGCAGGTGAACCTCTTGACTTGTGGAATTTCTTCTAAAATTGAAGTTTATTGCTTTTCCACCCACCTATTTCTAACAGCATCTTTTATGTTGGTTTTCCCTACAGGCGTTTATTCAGAACCTGGCATTGTTCTTTACTTCATTGTACAAGGCAAGCTTCTCTGTGTAATTTTATGTCTTAACATTATGCTGGAATTTCCAGCTGTACTTATCTGGTTGTTGTTTGTCTATGCAGGAAAATTTAAATGTCTTGCTGATGGCACTTTTTCTTTTGCAGGCACATATTAGAGTACTTGAATCCACTCCAGAAAGTATATCTGCACTACTTATGGGTCTTGAATATCTGATTGGCATTTCGTATGTTGATGATACCGAGGTTTTTAAGGTGTGTTTATTGTTATGTACTTCACTTTCTTGACCACTAACTTACCATAACTGTAATGTGATTGACCTATACTTATTTGTGACATGGCTCTACAGGTCTGTTTGGACTATTGGAATTCTTTAGTTTTGGAGTTGTTTGATGCACACCATAATGTGGATAACATTGCAGCTGCTGCAAGCATGATGGGGCATCAGGTATTAATAAATATGATACATATTCATTATAAACATGATGTGTGTGTGTGTGTAGTCAACTTACTCAACCAAGCCTTGTACCGACTATCTGGGGTCAAGCTTTTTTGCAATGCTCTTAGCAAGAATCAAATGGACAGATCTGATGCTGCTGGGTTTGGGAAATCCAACACCCCCTAGGGTTGAGGCATTTTCTTGATTGTTGGCATTTGAAGTATTGTGGTGACAAGGTGGTGGAATCGACCATAGACTCAGAGCTTGACAAGAATGAAGGTGTTGATTGAGTAGGAAGAACATTGTCATAAAAAATTGGTTTGATTAAGTAGGAGAAGCTGTTTTGAGAACCCATCTTTAGATGCCCACAGTTGGATAGAGAATTTGCGGAATGGATTATTTTTTTTAAAGAATGGAGGTGGAGGTTAATTCAAATCAAGTGGATGCTAGATTTTGGAACTTGTGCAAAAATGGGGTGTTCAATGTCTAACAATCTTATGAAAGGTTAATCAGAAGTCAAAGTGGGCATGTGGATATTAAGAATATCTGTGGCAATTCAATACCTTCAAGAAGTGTTCACATTGGCTTTTACTTCCATCTTTAGACAACATATTCACATTGGACAATATCAAGAGTAGGGGTTTTTACTTGTACAACCAGTGTTGTATGAGTGGGTGTCAAGAATAATTGGTTCTGCATATTTTCAGCAAGTGTGCTATTGCAGATTTTTTATGGAGTTTTTTACATGTCTTCTTGGAAGATCCATTCATGACCAAGTATTCCCAAGAGAGACCTTTTTAAAGCGGTCTTCTTTACAGGGAAGTAAGAAATCAAAAAAAATATTTTGGAGAGCAGTTCCTTTTGCTATATGTTGGTGCAAGAAAGAAGTAGTAGATGCTTTGTAGAAAATAGTGGAGGACTAGGGAGAAATGTTGCTGACACCGGCTCTATGAGTATGAGTTGGTTATTGGTGCTTCCTGAATTTAGAGAGTGTTCAGGGCTTCTTTTGGTTTGGATTTATGGTTGTCTCTTTGAAGTTTAATCTAGTTTGTTTGTTGTAACAATGAGTATGCTTGCATTTGTTTTGGAACTGAATTAGATCTTAGGTCTTTGGTGTAATTTTGTCATTACTTGATAATATTTCTTTTTTTGTCTTGCTTATTAGAAAAAAAGGTTATACCTATAAGTAGCAGAGTTGGTTGTATAACAGTTTGCGTACTTATTTTTATCCTTACACTGTTACTCTTTTCCTTGCTGCTAATAATGAATATTTATAAGCATTAATTTGTTTAGCTGTTTTTCTTTTTTATTTAGTCTCTTATAAGCATGATATGTTAATTATTTTCTTTCATTATGCCTTCTAATTACATATACGACCAAAAATAAAAGATGATTAGACACCTCCAAATAGAGGGTGGTTGAAGCTGAACTTTGATGGCAGCAATATGTGGGGAGAAGGTGATTCAGTATATGGAGTGCAGAAAAGAAATGGAAGTGAAGAAGTTAATGGTTGAAGGTGATTCGAAAGTGGTATGTGGCTGGTTAATGAAGGAAAAGAATGTGGTGTGGAATTCCAGAAATGAATTATGACAGTTCTAATGGTGTTTAAAAAACATGTAGATACCAATCAGATGGGCACAAAGGCCTGCAAACTCTTTGGCTGATTGTTTGGCTAAACATGGGGTTAATAAACAAATGTTTTAAAAAGGGTGGTGGGGTGAGATTGTATGTCTATGCTCTTTTTATTGTTTTCGCAACCTCTATTTGTATCTGTTTTAATTATTTAATGAATGGTTTCCTTTCTTTGCTTATAAAAAGCCTACAAATTCCATAAACTTGTTAAAGATCCTATCAATGTTTTAAAACATGGAGATCGGAAGCATGATACTTGGACCTTTAAATGCATGGGGCACAGGCCTTGTGGCATGATGCTTAAGCTTCTTGGATTACCATTTTTTTTTAAGGAAAAGCACGAAGCTGAAATTAGGAAAGTGTATAAGCCTATTCAAGAGGAGCAAATTTTTTTGTATGAATAGCCTGTCACATGCACAAGAACTATAGGAATGTTTGGAGCTTTATATAAAAGCAGTGCATTCTTCCATACAATTTATAACTACTAAATAGCTTTAAATGTAAATTAATACCTATTTAAATGTGTTGAAACATAGATGCAAGCACAAGTACACACAGAGATATATATACACATGCACACAAACAAACACATATACATTTATAAACAATATTTCTAAGCTTCAACTTATAAAAAAAAATTCTAAGCTTCAATGTGGAAGGTCTTTGTCAGTATTTCATGTTCTTAGCCGATCAAAAAAAAGTATTTCCTGTTCTTAATAAACGGCACTTCTGTGCTCCAATGTAGAGATATTGGCATGATCTGGAATCTGTGTCTGAAATCTTTAGTCCTTTGTCTGTTGATTTCTTACTGGATCTACAGATGCCATTTGGTTCTGGTATGGTTGATGGTCTAGGATCACAACTTTTCCAAAGACGACAGCTCTATGCCACTCCAATGTCAAAGTTGAGGATGCTGATGATATGTCGTATGGCCAAGCCTGAAGAGGTTTTGATTGTTGAGGATGAAAATGGGAATATTGTGCGTGAGACTATGAAAGACAATGATGTTCTTGTTCAATACAAGGTGTGTACTTTGTAACTCCAACAGTTAAGTTGTCACTTCATATAAAGCCTGAAAAATCAAAACCAATGATACGTAGACATAAAGGCATGGAATCATAAGGTGTCAAACATGGAATTTTGCCTTTTTGTCTGGTCACAGTTCACTTGAGCACTATTTTATCAGTAGAGATGTCAATGGGTTTGGTTTGGTTTGGGATATGGTGTACCAGTCCCAAATCGATTATTATTTGGTTCTATAAGATTGAGCATTAGACCCCATTATACTTGACATTTCCAATGATAATAACAACTTAGAACTTCATCTTTGATATATAGCCTTGATAAAAATTACAGTAAAATAGTGAACTGTTTATATGTTGATAAAACAAGTGTTTTCAATCAAAATTATCTTATATATTGTATATAGGATTTGCCCTTTTAGACATAAAATATAACAAAAAATACAAAAAAGAATCTTTATATATAGAAGAAAAACAGTCCCAAAAAAAAGAAAACTGATTAAAAGAAAGGGAAAAACAAAGGAGATAGCAGCAGCAAGAAGAAGAAGAGTTCGATTGTGAGAAAGGGTGAGGAGAAATCTTGTTCGTACTGCACCTCCTTTCCCTAATCTTTTCACTAAGAATTAATCACTAATTTCTGGAATTACAAGTAGGCCCTTAATTGGGCGGCCGGCTAATTAAACAAAACAAAAAGAGATTAACAGGCCCATAAGAGAAGGCCCATTAACAAAAAAAGAACAGAAATATAAAGACAAGTAACAACTTTGGGCTCTGGGCCATTCGACCCATCTTCTCTACATATATTATTAACTATATAATCTATATGGGTTTTAATTGGTTCATAACAGCAATAACCGCTCTCAACCCAATTATTAATAACTGGTTTGGTTGATTGAGTTGGTTTGGTTTTGTTGGGTAGACCTGACTCATTGACAGCTATATATTATCAGAGATGTATTACATCTTGGTTACAATTCAAAAGCTTCTAGTTCACTAAGTGGGATGATTTCTTTCAAAGTTCAGATGCTACTAATGGTAAATTTTTGTGGCTCATTGGCTTCTTCATTGATGCTCTGATGTCTCCTTCATATGTTTGTTGCTGGTGTCTATTTTTTAATTTTTTTTTTTTCTGTTTGCCGCCTATGTTGACAGTATCCTGATGTTACAGATCATGAGGGAAACACTGATCTATTTGTCACATCTTGATCATGATGACACTGAGCAGCAGGTATGTGCTTAAAAATAGTAGTCATAATGCTTCTATTTCCTTTTTTCTCTTTTATAATGCTTCTATTTCTGTTTTTAAGTAAATAGAAAGGAAATTTAATTATAATGAAATAATATACAAAGAAAAGGAAGGGTGTTGATATGACGCCCTATAAAAGAGATACGCCTGAAAATACAACAACCAAATATCCTAAAAAGTTTTACATCTGTTGATAACCATAAATAGACCAAAAACCAGAGCCAAAAGAAATTGCCTTCTAAACAAAGAAAAGAAAAGACCCCAAATAAATATTGCTGCTTTGCACTCAATGAAAAAGTGTCTTACAACTTTATTGTGGCTTTTGCACGTATAGCACCAACCCATCAGCTGAAAGCTTTATCCTTCTAAGTTGTATTCTGGCCATTTCTACAGTCTTTCCACCATCTTGCATCAGCCGCAAGAGGTGATGTATTCTCCTTATCAAGCTTGCCAAGCAAAATAATAGATTTCTCTCTCTCTCTCTCTCTCTCACCCTCTCTTCCTCTCTCCCTCTCCTAAAATTTGGACACCAGATCATTCTCTTGTCCCTTATTTCATACATTGATTGATTGTGATGCTTTTCCCCAGTCTCCACTCAATTTATGCAACCTGAGGCAGAATTCACTAGGCCTCTGAACTCTGTCAATAAGATCTGGATAGCAATTCTGTTTGTTTAGCAAATAAAAAATTAAATTCATCAAAGAAAATGGTCATCTATTAGAAAATATCCTGGAATTCCTTTCTTTCTAAATATTCCATTGGAAGGAAGCTGTGTGCATCCGTATAACCTAAACTAGTATCTAGTTGCTTTCAATCCCTTCTTCTTGGAGGTTGCCATCGAGTACCAAATAAGTGCATAATTTGATTATTCATCATGGTAGAAAGTAATATGATGTGAAGACATATGAACCATCTCGTCACTCAAATTGAACGAGTTAGTTTCTATAAGGATATCTTCATATATTTTACATCTTATTACTGCATCATTGCTAGTATTTTAAAATGCACACCACAGGCATGCCTAGGTGCATTTGAGAAGTGTGTTTTAAGGTATGTGCCTTGCCTGAAACTAGGAATACTCCCTTTCAAAAGGTTCATACCTTTCATCTACGTCTACATCTACAACTACAAACTACAACTACAACTACATATACATATTGGTGGATTCTTATGTGGTTTAGACCGAAGGTTCAAAAAATCAACACGTATTGGTCCATATCGGCTGATACACATTGTATCGGGAGCACCCCGATATGCCCCTACAGAGGGTGTATCGGGGTTCTGACTGGTTCAGGAGGTGGAGGAACCTTAAACCGCTCCCCTGAACCGGTTTTGAAAAAAATAAAAAAAGTAAAAAAAAGTACCGATACTGCCTGATACGCCCCTACTGGCGTATCGGGCGTATCGATATTTAGAACCTTTTTTACACCTTTGTAATGGTTTATCAGCTTCGAAATGACCTTTTATTGCTGTTTGTACACTAGTAATGGTCTATTGACTTATAAATATACAAATACAAAGATCTTTTAAATACGTGAGGCCTTTGTTCTTGAAAATACTATCTCAAATAACAAACTTTGTCACTAAAGAAGCAATAACAAGGGGCCTTTATTGAGGTGGAGGGCTGATATCCTAGGAATTGGAATGCAAAATGTTTAACATTACATTGATAAAAAAAATGTTTAACATTACATTATCTACTTGATACAAAGACTTTTTAAATACGTGAGGCCTTTGTTCTTGAAAATACTATCTCAAATAACAAACTTGTCACTAAAGAAGCAATAACAAGGGCCCTTTAATGAGGTGGAGGGCTGATCTCCTAGGAGTTGGAATGCAAAATGTTTAACATTACATTAGCTACTTGAAGCAATGGAACTAGGAGATAAATAAATGCATTGAAATCTTCACATGTTTGGATTGTTGAGTGCTTGAAGAACTTTGTTATAATCCACATATGTTTGGCTTCACTTTCATTTTTACACTTTGAATATTGTTTATATGTTATGCTTAAGTTTTTTCGAAATTCAGGTTTTCTTTTTATTTGTTTTGATTTTTTTTTTCAAGAATTTGCTCCCTTGCTTCAAATGGGTGTTCACCTAACCTTGTGCCTTGTGTTTTGGGTGCAAGAAGGCCTATGTGCTTTTCTTGCACATAGCACTTTTAAGACATTGATTGTCGGATTATTCCTTAATTTGATGCTTGCTTGATTCCTGCGTTTTTCTTGGCATGGGAGGTATTAGTCACTACTAGTCTTTTGGTTTATATCAGTTTTTGATTGAAATTCTTATTGGTATTTGCAGATGCTGAAGAAGTTAAATAAACAATTAAATGGTGAGGATTGGACATGGAATACTTTAAACACATTGTGCTGGGCAATAGGATCTATCTCTGGGTCCATGATGGAGGATCAGGTATATATTTTGTTGCATCCAGTTTGTATTCTCATATCCATCTAAATGGAGGGCTTCTGCATTTATGAATTAGGTCATAGGTGTCTTTTTGTCTGATCCTCATGCCCCTATAGTCGATCCAGTGCTGATGTTTTAGGATGGTTTGGTTTGGTTTTTTGGTCTGTCATCCCTTGAAACTTTATCTTTGCATGCATACAGCTGTTGATGTTGAAGTTTTTTTAGATATCATTATTCTCAATGTAAAAGGAATGGAAATACATGTAGCATTTATTTTTCTCCTTGCTCTCTTGGAAGATGATCTTTCTTTTCTTGGATGAGGAACTCCTATCTAATCTGATTACAGAACTTTCTTTTCATGCTTGTATGAAATCATGGATGTTGCATGTGTGCGCCCGTGTTTCTAAAATTTATTTGTTTTTACATGTACTTATATGTATGAAACATGCATGTTGGGTTTGAGCTCAATATGCTTTTCACTATTTAACTATCTTTGCTTTGTGCTTGACAGGAAAACAGATTTCTTGTTATGGTCATTCGTGATCTTCTGAACTTATGTGAAGTTACGAAGGGAAAAGATAACAAAGCTGTTATTGCTAGTAACATTATGTAAGAATTGCTGATGTAGAAGTGCTAGTAGTGCAGCTGTGATGTCACTGTTTTATTTACTATTATAGTATAAAAAATGTTTTCTTTATATGATCATTGTTATTGGCTTGGATTGGCAGGTATGTAGTTGGGCAATATCCTAGGTTTTTAAGAGCACACTGGAAGTTTCTGAAAACTGTTGTGAACAAGTTGTTTGAATTCATGCATGAAACACATCCGGGAGTTCAGGTACTTTGCCCCTTGACCAACAGACGGAATTGACAGTAAAAGTAGAATTACTAAGGGGGTATTCTTTTTGTGGTTTGAGTAAAGGCTAGTTGTATTTCAGAACAATAGAACTTAATTGTGTGTCAAAAATCAACGGTCAAGAAATGCTTAATGGATGTGACTGTTTTTCAAGGACCACAAAAACTTGATAATTGAAGCAATAACTAGATGACAAAGAAATAATAAGATAGAAAACGGCAGCTGCAGTGTCAATTAAGGAATGAACGAAGAAAGATCAACAAGAAAAGCAAATGTCATAGTAACAAAAAATGAATAAGATAATATTCAATCAATAAATGTACTACCTGTCATAAACTAAATATAGATCCTAATGGAGTAAGTAACCCTAGTTTTCTCTATGAGTTAGCACTTAGAGATGGAGTCAAATCATCCATAAGTTCAGAGTTAACACTAAAACCCATTAATGAATAAAATTCTTCACTTTCCCATTCCATATATGCTCAGATTCAGATTAGTTTTCACGTCTTTTACATAGTGGTTGCAATATATCTCTTTTAAAGTGTACAATATATTTTTTGCTAAATAATGGACGTGAATGATGAAATATTTGTTGGAAAAATGTCCTTCAAGTATCCAATGAATCTCGAGGGTCCAATCAAATCACGAAAACATTTTATATTACAATCTTGCGAAGATCTGATTGGGATTAAATCTTCTAAATATCACATGGAATCCAAACGGGTTGGCAATCAAATTCTTGGCTTGCTAGAACAGTTTCAATTTTTCTAGGCCTTGTGCTGAACTCAATGATTGTGGACCTGTTATTAAAGGGACTAGGATGTCCATGCAGTTTCCAAAGGAGTTAGCTTGGCTTTTCTTTTCTCAGCGTTCAGCCCCACATCAATGTCAATACTATAGATGAACTTACAAATCCTTTTTCTTTTTTCCTGTATCAGTGCCTTGTGTCATCATCACATTAAATGAAACTGGGATGAGTATATTTTAACTAAAATTAGACAAAAAAAGAAGAAATTGAGATAAATATGTGTTCACATAGATTGGGGTAGGCATCTACTTTTTGCCAAGCAATTTTTGGGGGGGATTTTGTCTTGTTGGCAGATTAGGGAGCCATAGTATATATGAGACATGGAACTTTTAGTTTTCCTTCTATTTGGCCTGAGGGGGAGCGTGTGAGGTTGGTGGGGCATTTATGTTATTGCACAGGCCCTTTGTAGTTAGAATGGTTTCACATGGCTTCCAGTTTCCACAACAATCCTGTCCTTGATGGACCATATATTGTTACTCTGCTATACATATCTGCAGCGATGATGTTTGAGCAGGCATTTTAACATTTGCTATTAGTCCTTTCATAAAGGATAGCTGGCTAGTACTTGCTTTTTTCATTTATGGTTTTGTTTACCATGAATGCTCCATTTGCTGTTCCTTTTAAATTACTAATCTCTAGCTTTTTGTACATATTATTTTTTCATTTTCAACCACATAGTAATCATTCGCTCATTGTCTTCCAGGATATGGCTTGCGACACATTTCTGAAAATTGTTCAGAAATGCAAACGTAAATTTGTTATTGTACAGGTAAAAGTATTGATGCTCTTCGCCATATAATACTTTGTCATGGTCACTTGTATTATTTGTTTAAATGGTCTGTGGGATTAGTTTTTCTTGATCCTGCTCCAACTGTTTCAAAAATAAAAAAGGAAACAACAGAAGTTAAATGGAAGAATTGTGTCAACCTGATTATGCCATACTGAATTATGTAGATTTGTTTCTCCCATAAGGTTCCATATGATTTCTATCTTAATGTTATATGAATTCTCCATTGGTACCTTTTTGAATGCCATTTTTGTATCTGATATTGTCCTGTAGTGATGGCTGCTTTTCTGATTGCAGGTTGGGGAAAGTGAACCATTTGTTTCTGAACTTTTGACTGGTCTTCCAGCAACAGTTGCAGATCTTGAACCTCACCAGATCCATACATTTTATGAATCTGTATGTTGTGATGATTGGAACTGTTTCATGGCTTTATACAGGAAAGTTTGGTTCCTGGTAGTAAGGGCTGCTTTTTTTGGTCTTTACAGGTTGGTCATATGATTCAGGCAGAATCTGATCCTCAGACGAGGGATGAGTATCTACAAAGGCTCATGGAACTTCCAAATAGGGTGTGCCTTCTAATTTGCATTATTTTCTGAAGTCATGATTTATCTGAATCCAGTGTTTTGATAGTGAGTAGTTCAACTAAAGTGCAGGGGGTTAGCCTGGGAGACCCTTGTGAGGAAAAAGTGTGAAAAAGCCTAATAAAAAAAAGAAAATCTAAATTCTGAAAGAAATAAAATATTAGAAAATCAATTCTAGTGAATTATATTTTTTTTTGAGAAAAGGTAAATTATGATTATATTACTAATAGGTCCTTTGTCCATTGAGTAGCTGTACAAAAGAGGGACCTCAAAAGAAGGCCCATCCTCAAAAAAGTATAATCAGAAAAACAATCTTTATGAACAGTATGTATGGACATCCAACTTTTCAAAACCTCTATTGACCCGTTAATGACCTCCGCTTCAGTATAATATTTTTTTTTTCAAAAATTCTATTGTTCCTTTCTGACCACACAGCCCACAGCACTGCCAAAGGGTTGGAATTGCAGCATAATTTTCCTGTTTTAGACATCCCCTGAATCTGTCATTCCTCAAACAGAGCTCTAACTGAATGACTTTGGATATTTTTCACATTTTGATTTGTGTTTTTTAGCATTTTTTTTTTCTGTTTCTTGCCATTGCTTTCTGTTGTAGTTGGTGAAGTTTCTTCATCATTCTCTTCTGCTCCTTTTTGGGTGAAATTTTTACTTTACTCATTGGGTGTATCATGTTGTATTTGTAGGTTCTTGAAACCCTAAATAAGGGTTTTTTTTGGAATTTGGCCATGTTCACGGGGTAGGCAAGCCTAAAACCGACCCCCTGAACAATTTTGAAAAAACAAAACTAAAAAAAGTTGTGAAGTATTGAAACACCCAATGCGCCTGCTTGTGATTCGTGAGTATCGGGTGTATTGATACTTTAAGGCCATGCTTGGGAGTGCTTAAAAACAAGTGCTTATTTGGGCCATTAAGCACTTATTGGTATTTGGGAAATAAGCCCGAAATAAGTGCTTATTTAAAAAATAAGGACTTATTTTTCAAGCCCAAAATTCTAGCTTTTTTTAAGAGCTTCAATTTTTTTCTTCCAAAATTATCCCTAGTTGAATTTTAAAATGCTACTTGTAAAATTATCCCTAGTTGAATTTTATAAAAGTACTTTCATAAAAGATTTATGAAAGCACTTTTACGAAAGCACTTTTAAGAAAGTACTTTTATGAAAGCACTTTTATAAAATCACTTTTACAAAAGCATTTTCTGAAAAGCACTTTTATGAAAGTACTTTATGAAAACACTTTAATAAAAGCATTTTTATGAAAGCACTTTATAAAAGTACTTGCTTAAAAGTGCTTTCATAAAAGTACTTTCATAAAAGTGCTTTCGTAAAAGTACTTTTGTAAAAGTGCCTTCATAAAATTACTTTCACAAAAGTGTTTTTTATAAAAGTACTTTCATAAAAGTGTTTTTATAAAAGTAATTTAATAAAAGTGCTTTCAAAGGGTATATTTTGAAAATTTGAAAGAAAATGAAGGACAAAATAGTCACAAATGCTTATTTATGTGCTTATTAGAGAAAAAGACCACCAAACGCCTAATATAAAACAAGTGCTTATTTAAAAAAAAAGGAACTTGAAAAAGTTGGGTGCCAAATGCAAATAAGTGCTTATTTGAATAAGCACTTGTGTTTTTAAGCAATTATTCAATAAGCACTTATTTTTAACTTAAGCACTCCCAAACATGGCCTAAACCATGATAGCAACTTTGTTCCAGGCAACAACTAATTGGTAGTGAACTTAAAGAATGCCCATTATCTTCTTTTTTTTTTAATTTTTTTAATTTAAATACCATAAACTAATCATGTACCATGACAAATACTCAAGGCAACTGGTGTACATATAACAAAATAATGTGTATATCATAATATTTTATCATATCATAATACTGTAAAGAGTGACAGATAAGTAAAAGCAATTAATACTTTTGAACAATTTTATGGTTGACTAGTTGCTTGTGTGTTAACTAACCAACTAGTTAATGTTTAGTTTTGCCAGCTGGTTGTACTTGTATAATGATTTTCAACTTACAAGTTGGTGATGCAATATCGAGAGCTACCTATTTGTATGTTTTAAAAAACTTCTTTTGAGAACACTCTCTTCTGCAGAAATGGGCTGAAATTATTGGACAGGCACGCCAGAGTGTGGATTTTCTCAAGGATCAAGATGTTATCAGAACTGTACTTAACATTTTGCAGGTACTTAACATTTTCTCAAGGATCAAGATGTTATCAGAACTGTACTTATCAGAGTGTTGATTTCACTGAATTTGGTTTCTCAAAAAAATTGATGCTCAACTTAGAGTGTTAGATGGTCGTTTAGTAATCACAGTGTAACCATTTACTGTTTCATTCTCTAGACCTGCATATATACAGACTGCAGGTGCTGTAGGATGACATAGTCACCATAATTTGATATGTATTTCTTGATTAGAGTACTCAGACCCACTGTTTAGAGGGGTCTGTGTCAAGAGATTGACTACAGTGAAAATCAGCTTGAACAGTTTGCTTGTTTTACTTTACTATGTGAACAGCAGGGCAAAAATTATTTACGTTTTGAAAAGATCCTGTTATATTGTATGATGAAGGTGGTTTAAATTTTAAAACTAATTAGGGTGGCATTTGGCACATCCTTCATTGTAGTCTTTTGGGCTTTTGCATTCTTGGAAGACCGAATTTTTGTCTTTTTTTGTTTGGTAACAGAGCTGAGAAGACCGAAAGTCATGTGCCCCAGAAAGATCTGGACGGACCAAAATCAGTAAATGGTCTTTATCTTTAAAGATGAGATCCCAAAAGATCATTACATCTTTTGGCCATCTAAGCTGTAAAAAGATCTTCCTAAAAAGACTTGCCAAACCACACCTACATTTTGCTTATCTTTTTGATCTGTTGCAAGTTGCTAGGGGCTGACTGAAAAATACATGGATTTAAGTGCTTATTATGATTTAGCAATTTCTCTCTGTTGCACACAGCGAATACACAGTTTGTTTTTTCTCATATATTTATTATCAATTCCATTCAGAATAACCAGTTATTGATCAAAATTTAATGTGTACATTAGTAAATATTGTTTTGTAAAGAGTAATAGATCACTAGGTGTCCGTCCGAATGTGGAGGCACAGGATTAAACCCATGTATCTGCAGACTCTCCGTGGTAAGGTCAGTGGACCTTACGTGCACCTTGCTCTGTTCCCACCCCTTAAATCCCCTGTATTGTGGAATCTGTAATACCAAAAAAGTCTCATAGAAGTTACTTTCAAGTCATTTTGTTTGTGATACACAATATCAGTCTCTTTTTAGTTCATCTTATTAATATAATATAATAAGCCAATCATTTTTTTTGATAAGCAACAGTGGTTCAGGGGGGGGATGACTATTCTAATCTGACCCATTTGCTGCACTAACAAGAGGAACAACTGAGAAACCTTCATGAGGAGACATCTACATTAAGAACATAATGAGGAAAAAAAAACAAGCGATACAGCAAGGTTCAAAATTTTGATACGTATCGGGGCCTTCCCGATACGCCCCTACAGGGGGTGTTTCGGGTCAGACAGTGGTTCAGGGGGAGGATGGGTCTGAACCAAATTTGAAAAAAAAAAGAGAGAAAAAAGCACTGATACAGGCCGATACACCGGCCTGTGTCGATATTTTGAACCTTGCATTCATGCTATACAGTCATCAAATATAGTGCTACCTATTGGTAAGAGGTCCCCAAAATAATTCCTACTATCCAGCTAGCTTGGCCAACCCCCATCTGGGATTCATCATTGTGGGATGTTCTCCTTAAATGCTTAATGCTTGGCCTCTTTGATTGGTTAATGGAGAGTCTACGGGCCAGCTGGGGTCTGTTGCCTTGGTGACAACTTGAAAGGAACTCCCCACCTCAAAATATGCCATACTTGAATAGGACATTGACTGAGGGCCCTGAAGCAGTGTGCAAGGTATCCAATGAAGTATGAAGGGGGGGGGGTGCAGAGCTGGTGTGGAGTGAGAGATTTAAATATGGGTAGTCTTGGTTATCTGTCTAATGATTCTTTGGGTTAGCTACATTGTGCATCGACGTGCAAGAAATAGGGATGGGCATGTTGTGAAGCTGCTACGTCACCTAGTTGGCACATCGTGATGTTTTGATTGCATGCTATGACAAAGCCCACTCATTGGGCATCTCATGTCACTGCAGCAGCAAACATGCATGTTAGATTCGTTGTTATGTAGGATTTCATTTATGAATAGTGGCAAACCCTTTCAGTCATTGGACCTCTTGAATGTGCAAACTGACTAGTTATTTCGTGATGGGAAAATTTTTATATTAATGTCATAAAACTCTAGCTTGAACCCATGTTCCACAACCAGAGGGATTGGGGTGACTTTAGGAGTTCTTATGTAATGAATAGGGTAGGAATGGCAACGGGGCGGGGTGTGGACAGGGAGCCTCTCCCCGTCCCCGCAAACAGGAACAAGGTTAAACCCAACCCCGCGGGGATCCCCATTCCCCGTGATTTTTTATAATGTTAACCATTTTGTTTTTGTTTTTTTATTTTATTTAAAAAAATAAAACTAAAATAATTAAAATTTACAATCCTATTAGAAAAGATTCAAACATATTCAACCATATTTTAAAAAATATCAATATATAGATGTATGTGTACATATATACATATATAATGTCATATATATTAGTGGGGATCCCATGGGGTGGGGAGTGCTCTCCTTGTCCCCGTCCTGTCCCATCAGGGGGGAAATCATCCCCATCCCGGCCCCATATGGGGCGGATCCCCACAGGGATCGGGGAAATGGGGAAAATTGCCATCCCTAGAATAGGGTTTCAAGGACAAGCTTATGAATGGAAGAAAAATGACATAGCAGCAATTTTGTGATGTTGTATTTTCGGGTAATGATTTGGATTTTGGAACTTAGAAAGTGGATGATTTATGTAAGATTTTAAATCATGAACCATATACATTATAAACGGAGTACTGGAAAAACACTGTTCACTGTCTTGCCCCTGAACATTAATATTATTAATTTAGGCTGTGTTTCGATGGGTTTGAGGTGGTAACCTACTACATGATCGCTGAAATTATGAGAGTTCAAGTTGAGTGTGTTTGTACTTTGTAGCTATGATTCCATGGTTCATCTTTTTTGTACTGGTGATTGATGAATTATTATAATTTCGTTTTCTTTCTTTTAAAAAAGGTAACTATCTTATTGGAAAGATGTGGAGATGAAAATGGGTGACACATATTTAGAAAAGAGTGATCTCAGTCCCATCCTCATTAGAAACTGAAAAGGCATCATTGCTGTGCACAAGTGTTCTGACGTAGATTAACTATCAATTGCAGCATCAAGGCCATTCAAATCTACTGAAACAGTTCGGAAGGCACTTGTGATATCTTTGTTAATCCCATTAAGTGGCGTAGACTGAGCGTAGATCTTGGTAAATGCTTCAGAATCCTTGACCCAGAAGTACCAAGGAAAAATCATTTAGGTTAAATAAAGCACCCCGTATACCTTAAGGGCATGGATGGCCACGGAACTGTGATCAAATTGCAATGGTATTTGATTATCACTTGATGGAGGTGCTGATTCTTTTGCTGCAAGGTGTGGAGATGAGCAAAAAATTCTTTTCTTAGCAAAGTGGCATGTGATATTCCTTTAAGCCCCTTAGTTTCTAGCATCATGATCTTGCAAACTGAATAACAGTCTCCAAGTATAGTTTCTTTGGCTTCCAAAACCCATCTGGCTTCCATGGATTCTTTGCGTGCTTGACCAATACGCCAAAAGCCTTAAGATTGGTGGAATGTGTCAATCCAAGCACTTTAACATTTTAGAGTCGTAATATACTGTGATGATTCTGCATCCATCTCTTTGGCTTCACTCTAGTCAGCTCTCACTCTAGTGGTAGGTAGCCCTCTTCACGATGGTTCTCATTCTGGCGGTAGGTAGCCCTTTTCACGATGGCTCACCCTCTGGTGGCAGGTAGCCCTTCCCTTGTGTCAGCTCACTCTACTCTAGGTAGCCCTTTCCGTGATAGCTTTCAGTCTACTCTAGGTAGTCCTCCCAGGTATCCCTCTCTGTGATTTCAAATTGAGACGTGGAAGGCTCTGATATGAAATGTTGTGTGCTTGACCAATACACCAAAATCCTTAAGTCTGATCAAGGTTTAAAATGTCAGTGTCAGTGGAAATGCCGGTTGTCCAAATATAAGAAGCATGTCGGAATTGTTGGATATATTGTATGGAAATATTGTAAAAAATCTACACAAGGTGGAGTCATTGTAAAATATGCAAAATATAGAATAACATTTTATGAAATGATAAAAGAAGCATTGGCACACCTGTTTAAATTATAATCTTGTTCCAAATCATTAACAAAAATATTTCGAAATGCTTCTTTTATCATTGGATGACCTCTTTCAGTATGATGCTGTAATTTTCTTACCTTGTTTTACTTTCTATTTAGATTTTTAAGCATGCCTCTTTCTGCAAAAGATGCTGGTGGATGTGGTGGAATTCTACCTTTTATAACTTTTCTTAGCTTTATTGTTGGTTTTGTTATCTGCTGACATTTAAACGGGGGTTAATATGGTTGTTGCTACTTGTCAGACAAATACCAGTGTTGCAAGCTCACTTGGGACATACTTCTTATCTCAAATTTCAATTATCTTTCTGGACATGCTTAATGTGTACAGGTATTATATTCATGATGGAGGTTCCTTAGGAGACACTATTTTATTAATTTCTACAGAGGTAATTTAAGTGTCATTGTTTTTTGATTCGTGGAGCAGAATGTATAGTGAGCTTGTATCAAAAAGCATTGCAGAAGGTGGGCCCTATGCCTCTAAGACATCTATTGTAAAACTCCTGCGGTAAGTTAAAAACTGGGTAGGATTCAGGAACAAAGTTACTGTAGGATAAGAACCAAAGCAGTTACGAAGGATGTGATCTCAACCTTTTTGTATGATCATTAAGATTTGTTGCTATTTAAACTAGTGCTTTCTGAAACAGATCAGTTAAGAGGGAGACTTTGAAGCTCATTGAGACATTTTTGGACAAAGCTGAAGATCAACCACAAATTGGAAAACAATTTGTGCCGCCAATGATGGATCCTGTTCTTGGTGACTATGCTAGAAATTTGCCTGATGCAAGGGAGTCTGAAGTTTTGTCACTTTTTGCCACTATTATAAATAAGTAAGTTTGAAATCTACTTTTTTGCCATTTCAACTATTCCAACTCTTTTGTGTATACAAGTTATGGGAACAAAGATGCATCTATGCATCACATACATGATTTTTATTAGAAATTTTATTGATTGAAAGACTGAAAAGGTGCAGAGAGTAAGAACTACAAAACCCAAGTAATGATAACTAGAGCTATATCCCTTATGCCACTCTCCCATTAACCTAGGTTCTTTTAAATATAAGCCATTATCACCTTGTTGTTGCACTTTGGAGTAGCTCCAATAGGTGACAAAATGAGAGTAAACTAAGATGATTTGTCATGTGCATAATAGTAGACCACCAACAGTACCAGAAGTGATTTGTTACAGGTTGAAGTGGCTAGAAGGGCCAAGAAAAAAAATGGCATGAAGGGCAAGGGGCAAGGAGTAGACCAAAAAGGAAATGGGTAACAGTAGCAAGAAATGGCTTAAGTGCCAATGATTTAACAATGGATATGGCATTAAACAGAATGGACTGGTGAAATAGGAATCAATAGCTTCTCCATATAGTTATGATAAGGTTTTGGATGATGATGACGACGACAAGTTCCTCATCTTATGGAATCAAACGAAAATAAAAGAAGAGAAAAGAACTGTAGAAGAAATGCTGGAATGGTTAGTATGCAAGAAAAGAAATAGTTCAAAACTAGTAAAATTAAGTGTTTGCTTTGTCAGCATAGTTGTCAAGGCGACGCCTTGGCAACTAGGCAGTTTTCAAACTTCACCTCGCCCAAATGCTTTGTAAATTTGAATAAGGTGCACGCCTAGGCCACTAGGCGGGTGCCTAGATGCAACTGCAAGACACATTAATACAGTCCTTAATGATCATTTAATATTTTTTATATTGTTTTTTACTTTTTTTTGCTGCAAATAATTTATATTGGTTTGTTTTTGTTATTATAATAGGACCTATCACACATTATCTCTCTTTTTATTAGAAGAATACTAGCATACCTTTTGTATTTTTAAGCTGTCCGATCAGGTTTGTTTCACACACATTATCACTCAGTTTCAGTCTGCATTGGACCGCTTATTCTTCTTACCCTCTTTGTTTTCAGCCTTTTTTTCTTCCTTTTTGTTGGGTTTTTCCTCTTCTTTTTTTTCTGTCTTTTCCCTATGTTTTTCACCCTTTTGATCTTATTCATTTACCTGCACTTTTTCTTCCTCGAATGTGATCTGGAACAGGGGTTCCGCCTCCTTTTCTTCTTCATTTCTCCGAGTTTTTTCATCATTTTTTCCCTCTTCATTGGTGGTCTGAAACAGGGGATCTGCCCCCTTCTTTTCATTTTCTTCTTTTATGTGTTTCCCCAGTTTCTTGGTCTAAAACAGCAGTGGAGCCCCTTGTTCTTTTTCATTTTTTGGTCTAAATCTGGGCCTCCGCCTCCCTGTTTTCTCCTTAGGAGCTCTTGTCGGAACTTTCATATTGTAGGCTGTTGTTGCAAGGTTGGTGGGGTTTGTCTCTGAGAGAGAAAATGTTGTAAGTTCTCTCATGTTATGTTGGTTCTGTCTTTAAAACCTCCATAAATAATATATGGGGGAGTGCATCATCAATTTTTAGAGGTTCTAATTCTAACAAAAGAACAGAATTAAGCATTTAATTTAACATCAAATATGTTGTCTACTTTATCATGGTCTAAGTGCTAGCAATCGGATTAAGCAACAACACCTACTGTTTTCAGTGAACTTGTTTAGTTTACTATTGATTGATGTTTTGTGGTAACAGTGTTATTCTGTTATCACTGTTTGAGATTTGCATGAGCTTGGAAGTCTGTATTGCTTTCTGCGAAAATTTGATAGTTCTGAATAATTTTTGGAGTCATGAAAGTATAAACCTGTGGTTTGCTAATCATCTTAGACCCATTGATGGAACTTCCAATGATGCGAGCTTTACTCTATTTTATGTCATCCTACCCTCCCTAGGCACTTTCGTGGATCTGCTTCTTTTGATTCATCCTACCTTCTTCTATGTTCTCATTTCCTGAGTATCTTATATGTAGGTACAAGGGAGTAATGACAGAAGATGTTCCTCGCATATTTGAGGCAATTTTTGAGTGCACACTAGAGGTGATAATATCAGCTGTGTTTTTAAGGAATTCTGCTATTTGAGCCTTCCTGTTCTTTCTTATGTTGCTTTTTTATGGTTTTTTAATTTGCAGATGATTACTAAGAACTTTGAAGATTACCCAGAGCATCGCCTAAAATTCTTTTCATTGTTGCGTGCAATTGCAACCCATTGTTTTCCTGCATTGATCCGCCTGTCAAGTCAGGTTTGTGGAATTTTTCCATTCTCCAAATTGGCATCTAAATTTGCATGATTACCAAATTACCCAACTCTGGCTCTTCTTAATCATATTCAAGGTTCAAAGTATTGATATGATATGCCCTGCATCAGGCATTTCAAAGCATATCTCAGGTCTCCTGTCAAATTGTCTTTGCAAAATATGAAGAAATAGCTTTGTTGTCTGTTGAGCCAAAACTAGTAATCGATACTTTGGACCAGGCATACATTTTTTTGTTCCATAAATTGATACATGGCTATCCTTGTATGTTTACATTACATATTGTCACTTGTTCTTCAATTTTGTTTCTGTTCTTGCATCTCATTGTCAACTGTTGGTTCACCAGCAACTCAAGCTTGTCATGGATTCGATCATATGGGCTTTTCGGCATACTGAAAGGAATATTGCCGAAACTGGTCTTAACCTTTTATTGGAGATGTTGAAGAATTTCCAGGTCCAGCTCAATCTTTTTCTCTCAAATGTATTAGTTAATGCCATGTGGGTTGCTTAACCTTTTATTGATTGTTTGACAGGCTTGTGAGTTTTGCAATCAATTCCACCGAACTTACTTTTTGACAATTGAGCAAGAAATTTTTGCAGTCTTAACAGACACATTCCATAAACCTGGTTTCAAGCTGCATGTATTGGTGTTACAGCACCTGTTTTGCCTGGTAAGCAATCTTAATAAATTCTTTGCTGACTTTCATTCATGGACATAGTTGTTACAGTTTGGTGCTAATACGTTCAGGTGGACTCTGGTGCACTGAAAGAGCCTTTGTGGGATGCTTCAACTGTTCCTTATCCATATCCCAACAACATGATATTTGTTCGTGAATGCACCATAAAACTTTTGGGTGAAGCATTTCCTAACATGACCACAGCAGAGGTATTCAGGGGGTTTAAATTAGTTAATGCCTTCTGTTCTCTCTAGTCTGTTATCTGAACATAAGGATACATGCAGGTCACTCATTTTGTAAATGGGTTGTTTGAATCAAGGAACGATCTCTCCACATTTAAGAATCGCATCCGTGACTTCCTTGTGCAGTCGAAAGAGTTCTCAGCTCAGGTAACGTAGTAAACTAGCTCAATCATGTTGCATGCATGATTTCCTGCAAAATCCATTTGGCAACCCTTGCCTGTTATCCTGATATTTGAATAACGGTTTGGGTCTTAGGGTTTGTGTGTTAATAATGACACTGAGTTTTTCTTAAGAGTTCTTCCCAGTTAAGAAAGTGATCAACTGCCCTATCAAGTGGGTAATACCAAAAATAGTTTTCCACATTATCATCCCTCTCTCTCGACTGGTGGACCCTTCTCTTCAACATCCTATCTTAGGTATTTTGTTTGTGAAGAATCAATTCTTGAAATGGATGTTTTAGATAGATTAATGGATTATATAGCATATAAATTGTTTTTTTTTTATATCTATTATCATAGTAGAGGTAGATATATGTATGCATATATTACTTGGGGTTTTTATGTGATTCTTGTTCTAACTTTTATCATTGAATTGCCTTTTGGGTTTTGAATCCTGATTGACTTGTTTGGGTTTGGACACTCCTTTTCTATAAGCAATTTCAATGAAGCTTGTGCTTGTAGCCACTTCTAAATTGTGGGTCAGGTAAATGAGTTGTAATTCTCAAGTCTCCTACAGGATAACAAAGATCTCTATGCTGAAGAAGCAGCAGCTCAGAGAGAGAGAGAGCGTCAGAGGATGCTTACTATTCCAGGGCTTATTGCTCCTAATGAGCTGCAAGATGAGATGGTAGACTCATAGCTGACAGGGTGATCTATCATAGTGCTAATCCATTGTGCCTTCCTCCAAAATTTCAGAGGGGTGCTTTGTATCGATTACCAGGTTTTCTTTGGAGGTGAGCAGATCGACATCCTTCAATTTTATTTTTCTTTTCCCCAAATTTTCTTGGTAGATTGGTGGATCGTGAAGGCACTCCCCACTGGAAGGGCCGTCTGCGTTGCTGTTGATACATGCAGGACAATAGTGTTGAAGTTGTAAGTAGTGGGTAGCTCTTCTTGGAATATATGCTAATGTAGAGATAAGCAAGCCATTTTCTGGCTGTCTTTGAATCCGGTCTGATGTTTTGTGTTTGTTACTGGAGCCTGGAGGCATTACAAAGCTAGTGATGTCTCAGCTGTTTGAAATGCCTCTTTAGATCGATTGGTGATTCAACATAGTTTTACTGTATACTAACTCAGCGGGGGATTGCAGAAATGATTCTGTTTCTGCTAAAAACTATATTGTATTTTGTTACTTTTGTTAATGGTTGAAGAAGCTTCATTTTTTTCTCCGTATCCCTGAAATTATTTATTGGTGGGACCATGAGAGCGCTTGAATTAATCAAGGTTTTTATTGGTTCGGCGTGGATTTATTGTATCCTTTGAGGTTTTGATTTTAAGCCACTGCAATAGGTTCAGAAATAGCTTTAGAATATGGGCGTGTTTGTATTTGCATTACCGAATAAGGTTTCTTGTGGCCTATCAAAAAGGAATAATGTTTCATGTTGCAGGAAGTGTCTTCTTAGGGAATGCAAGGTTGCGTTTGGAAGGAAAGGAATAGAAAAAAAAATACCCTTCTCCCTCCCCTTCTTTTCGTTTAAACTGAACACAACTTTAATGGTTAGTATACTTTGTGAATACACTAGCAAAGTTCATAAAAATCCCACTATGGTAATGATATAAAAATTAAGGTGTAATATGTCTGATAAAAACTAGTAATTTATTAAACAAAATGAAAAGTAAAGCGGATCAATATGGATGAAATTTGTATGAAATGGCAAGTCTAGTGATGTATCGAGATTAAATATATTTACTGATGTTTTATGATCAAATATTCAATTAAAAATAAAACCAGAAATCAGATCATGTCCAAAAACTGAACGAAAAAAAGGGGTAAATTACAAAGACCCCTCCTGTACTATAGGGTATGTCACAGACCCCCCTGTACTTTTTTTTTTGCGACAAAGACCCCCTTGTATTATGATCATGAAACAAAAACCCCCTTCCGTTAGTCTTCCATTAAAAAATGGGATTAAAATATTTTCTAATTCCCATATTATCCTTATAATTATTCTCAGAATGAGGAGAAAAACACTGTTTATCTTTCCCAACCTCACGATACACGAACAACTGCGGAAATTCCTTCTAGGCCTTGAAGTTCTATGTTCTGCATTCTTACTGTTCATTGGATTCGTTGGAGTCGATTGTGAATCCTGTGCAACCTTCTTTAGTAACGGAAGCCATGGGTGCTAAGACATTCACATTGAATATTACTAGGGTTAATGGGTCGGTGGCGATTCGTACGGGGATCGTTCAGGCGTCGGTAACCCAGACAGTTTTTTATCAAAACCCAGTTTCCGTCTTTGTAGTTTCGAAGGTTTTATTGTTGAGAGCGATTTTTGGGAAGGAAGCCCTTGGGGCGATGAGGAGTGGCAATGAAGGTTTTCATTTTCGCCAGAGAATTCACCTTCTCTAGAGATCCCACTAACCCATCTCTCCTCTCCTCCAGGTTTCCGCGAAGAGATCCGATGGGGTGCAGCTGTTACTGGCGTACAAAGAACCACCCTTGCTGTTGTGCTCTGCTGTATAGCATTTGTACTAGTGGTATGAGATTTTGTTTCAAAATTTCTTTTCGTTTTCTTTTACTTTTTTAATTTCGTTCTGTTTTGATGTTTTTTTAATATTTTTAATTTTTTTCTTACACGAAAAATTGTATGTAACTGCAAAGCAGCATTCTTTTCTTGGGGGTGGGCTTTACTGCTTTAGTTTAGCAGGGAAGATTTTTGTCAGAATAATTTGAGAACAAAAATACCAAATTTTCCCTTGGGTAGTGATCTGATCGATGTGTCACTGTAAAATGCTAGGAATCAGTTCTTTCTACATATTTCTTTTGGCTTGTATGAGTTGTTTAAAAAGAAAAAGAATGATTTTGTCTAAATTTCTTTGCTCTGTTCTTGTGTCCTGGACCTTAGATATATCTTGCATGCTTTGATTCGTAAGAAAAGAGTTTGTGGTACACATTCCTTTACTTTTAGGTTTTAGTCTTGCCTGCTCGCAAGACGAGCTTGCAATCCTCTCACCCCCAGCGAGCCACACGGGAAACGACATGAAGAAAGCCTGACCAAGAAGGCCACTGCCATTGATGAATGACTGCATCATCGACACAAGAACCACTCGGTGTCTGTAACCTCTTCATCAACGGGATTGTATGTAGACACTGGAATCTCGGAAATCAACGAATTAAGCCATTTGACCTTTACAGAAATGTGAAAGAATTTGAGGTAGAAGGGATTACCCTGTTGCTGTTCGTTTATGGTGAAGATGAACAGTATTTTTTTCTCAATTGTTAGATTAGTTATTATAAGGGTAGTATGGGGATTAAAAAATATTGCAATGGCGTTTTTTGACAGAAAGCTAACGGAAGGGTCTCTACCCCCAAAAAAATGATATGGATAATTAAGGGAGTATTCGCCAATATTTATGGTTTTGTTTTTTCAAGGCGACATCCACGGTCTACGTCAACAAAATCATACTGTTTGGTGCGAGTGTAGTTATTGGTTATTTTAAAGAATAAATTTGATTTGTCTTGAAAAACTAAGAGATGTTCAAAACCAATTGTAGAATTTGAAAAAGAAAGGCAAATATAGATTTTATGATTTTGTCTTATAAAGTGATAAAAATTAAACTAAAATGTTTAATTTTGCACTCTACGTACAAATGCATACCAAATAATACAGAATACTACGTATTTTTATTTGTATTTTTTTCAAACTGAGTTTAAGGATGTCTTTGGTTGCAGTGCAATTTTATTTGTACTAGCACAAATGCTAAAATGCATAAAAGTACAAATGAAAAAAATAACGCAAACTCTCATTTAACTTTTTTTTTTTGTGTTTTACATTATTCTGTTTTATGTCTTAATTTACTTCATTTGTGTTGCAACTAAACAAAATAAGTTAAAACTTAAAACAAAAATGGGTAAGAATTTACACTTAAATCACTTGTACTGCCATAGTTTTGCATCATTGCAAGTAAACACAGAATAAGGAATTCAAATGCTCTTAACAGCAAATCAAGTTAGATTGTATTGTGCTTTGAGGAAAAGTAGTTATCAAGTACACTGAATGAAAAGCAAATGGAGTAGTTCCGTTTTAAAGGATGTTTCTCTGCTTGCAGCTTGCGTAGTTGCGTGTGAGGTTGGCCGTCCTCTCTCCTTGGCTGTTGAGTGTTGACACTTAGGCCAAGTTACGCAACAACTCCCGGATGCAGAAACTGGAGCAATATTTCTCCCCAGGTTGTATACTTGGTACATCTTAATAACTTTAGGATCTTCTCCTTTTTGTTTTACCATATTGCATTTCAGTGTCTGTAGACTTTGTTTGAACGCCAAAGTAATTGAAACCGACGAAGGTGCGAGCTGATGATTTGCTTGTTCGGTCCGCCACTCTACCGCTTGATTGAAGTACTTCCACAAGAGCGATGAATGATAATGTAAAATGCACGAATGAACAAAGAGCAATGCATACAAGATTTTAATAGAAAAAAAAAAAAAAAAAACCCTTCAAAATGTGAAGGAAAAAACCTACGGGACATTGGCCCAATTCCAATAAAACTTCTTCCACTCTGTCTAACATTGTGGACTGCGTTTAACCCACCCAATTGCACCCGCCGTATACATTAATGACCCTCACCCTTGGAATAACAAAGGTCACCAGGTGGTGAGCATCAATAGTGAAATCCATAGCGAGATCCGCGAGATTGAGGTATTGTGAACAGGATCTCGCACCTTGTGAAAATCCTTCTGACTTGGGTTACGATTCCAATATGCTTATAAGAGAGTGTGAGATCGCAAATAAGTCCAAACAATCTCAATATATGAATGGGCCGATCATATTGAATTGGACCAGTCCAGACTTAAATGGTCCAAAATATTTATAAGATTAGATTGGACCCGGTTCATGCACAGCAGATTTATATTGGATTGACCCAATATCTGGTCGACTGATGGAAGATAAGAATGCATGCAGGTGTTAGTGGACTAGGGTTGGGCTGGAATCAATTTAAATTAAAACCAATTTGAATAGAATATTGTGAAGTTCAGACATTGAATTGAACTGGATCCAAAGTATTTATCGGATTTGATTGGACCTGGTCCATCTATATAGATTCATATTGGACCAAATCTGGTTCAATTGACACCTCTACCAGTATTATCAGGTTCCTCAAGTTATCAGGTATGGGCAGAATAAAAGGGAAACGAAGTTCTCAAGGCTTTAGAGTACCAGGAATACCACTTGCTACTTTCACCAAACAATTTATTAACAGCTATACTCGTGCTATGAAACCATTAGGAAGTTTTTTTTTTTTGGATCCCGATGTACTAGGCATGTTGGGTAAGCACGTAATAGCTGTCAAAATAATTAAAATAATGAATAATTTCTATCTAACGGAGCAAAAGCATTTGGATGAAAGGACATCCTGACCCTTTCTTTTTGGGTATTGAATCATCACCTTTTCCCCATAGGGGCCGTATTTCATTTTGTTCTTTTGCATAATACAACACTTTTCCAGCAACAATCTAACAACTCTTATCAAAGGTGTAATGGTGGGAATCAATAGCGGGGCTCGAAACTACATCACTTTTGGGACTATTCAGTGTATGCACCAACTGAGCCACCACTCGGTTGGATGGCAATCGAAGTTTAGGCGTCTTGTATCAGTAATTTGAATTTTTCGTTTGATTAAAAAAAAAAAAAATCAGTAACTTGAATTGTTTAGCCCTCATTCCTAACTAATGAATAATGTAGCTGAAGAAATTTAGAACTATAAGTAGGGTGCTTATGGTTTAATTAACCAAACTATGGGCTTATTTTTAAAATCGAATCGGTCCTATCAGTTTTTAGAAAACTAGTAATCAAAACTGAATGGAAGCCAATCGGTTAATCGGTCTTTATAAGATTGACAATGTATTTATTACATAGCTGAACAAATCAAATAGTTGACATTTATTTTTAAGAAGTTTAGGATTCAGTCCACCTAAGATAGCTTTATTATTTTTTCAGTTTTATTTATCAACACCGCCACTTATAATTCACTATACACTTGAATTTCGATTCATTCTTCCGTTTGATAGCAGATTTTTTTTTTCACTCGAAATCCACATTCCACGCTTTACCAAATCACTCATAGCTGTAGATGAGTTTCAATAAATTTTGTCTTACTCCCTGAGATGTCGAACCGTAAATTCTACAAGATGATGCTAGAAAATGTTGACCAAGTTAAAATCAGCTGCCAGC